CGGGAGGAAAAGTGGAAGTTACATTAAAGCGTATCGTCAGGATACATCGGGATAGTCCTGAAAAACAAGGCCCTTCTCACAAACCATCGTTTGGGGGTCGGGGGGAAAGGAGGAAACCAGAGACAAGGCGTTGTTGAGCCAGGAGACCATGAATTCATGCAGGTAACAACAAACAACGAGAGAGCTGTCGGATTACTAGACACTCGTTTTGCTCAATTTTTGATGTCACTGCTTCCTTTTTAATGGAACGCTATCATGGTGATATCACAGAAGAGTAGAAATGTTGGACCAGTAAAGGAGTGGGAAGGAGGCAAACAGCACAAGGGCTGCTACTGTTATTTCCGTTACTGGGATGGCTCACCCCCTTCACCTGTCCTGTGTTTTTAAACTCTGCCAAGCAGACTCTGTGTCATCCTTCTTACAGGATAACAGCTGAATTCACCTTTGAATCACACACCAATCAGCTTTTTTAAAAAATAAAAGGATCTTCGCAGCTCACTTTCAGATAAGCAATGATCTTCCCTCTGTGCTAACAAGGAGCCGTTGAGTTCAAGAGCAACCCTTCCCCTGTTAGCTGCTGACTGCATTCTGCTTTTCCCATGTGTGTTTTTTAATGCGGTCACTAAGCTGTATCAGATCCTCTTCACCTCCCAAAGTCAGTACTTTGGTACTGACAGGGAGGTGGCAATTGGCAATTCGGTACTGCCAGTACAGTGGCAATTATTTTTCAGATGAGGCTGGAGCTGTTTTCTCAGCCTCCTTCAAGAACTGATGGTTTGGGGTGAAGTGGGAACTTGAATAAAAACGTAACAGCTCAGAAATTGTGTTGTAAAACTACATGAACAAACGCCTGTTAAAAGAAACCCTCCCTGAGATACAAGTCACAACCCCCCAGCCTACAAATGAATTCATGTTTATTGAAATTAAAAGACAGTCACAGTAGGTAAAAAGCAGAGGTGATCAGGAGAGGAAATGCAGACATCCTGCAAACAGAAACCAGTAACAAAATTCCTTTACTGTGGATGCACATCTCTTGTCTGTAATCACACTCCTTGCCCCCCCACCCCACCGCTGACAGTCGCAGGACTCCACCTTCTTCCACGACTGAGATGGTGAGATCCCACCAACATGTTCTACCAGGGTCTCATCCTGCAGGGCACTTACCTTCATCTCTTCTCTGACCACTTAGTGATTTCCACAAGTTCATAGGAAACATAAACTATCTTTGGGACCACAACCCTACTATCACATTTTGTTACAACTGTCCATCACGTTAAAACTTTAAAATGGTGAGATGGACAGGCTGCAAGATCTCCTAAACCTGTTGTAGCCTTGTTTCCTAGTGCACAGTAAGTGGGAGTGTTAGATGATATACAATAGAAGCTAAAAGTAGAAGAAAATTAATAAAAGGAAAGATTTAGTCTGACATAAGGTCATTGTAGATTTAAGTAAGTCTTTAAGCAAGAAGCCTAAAATATGCAGTTTTGACAGTGGAAGACAGTTGAAACTGGGTCAGCTGAGCACAATTTAATACTGATCTAAAAAGCCCACGTATCAACATCTCCCTTAATAACAAAGTAAAGTTCACCCCACAGCCTGCTTCAGGAAGTTCTCTGCCTCACGCTCCAAGACAGATAAATTGCTTAAGTGTGTTTCATATTCAGAATACGAATATATTTCAGGGCAGGAAACAGAGAAATTCCTCCACAGATATTTCCACAAGTCAGACAGGATGAGACATCACTGAGAATTAGATACTGTAAGGGCTGAAGAATCCCTCTTGCTTGAAGGTAGATCAGCTGAATTCAAAGGAACTCCTTAGAGAAACAGTTTATGTAAAAATAAGCTTGCTTGCTTTCTTTCCCAGATTCTGGAGAGTTCTCAGACATTGCTAGATGTCCTGAAGGGAGAAATTGAGAATGCTGGTAAAGCCGGTGAGCCACAAAGCACTTCAAAAGAAAAAGAAAAACAAGCACGTGGACAAAAGCATTCCTGAACTTGTTCTTCGACCTGGAAAGGCCTGCTGGTCTGGGACAGCTGCTGTTCTGGTACAAGGATGCCACATTTAATAAAAGTCTTTGTTTTGCAGAAGTAAATTTTCCTTTCAGGTGCACTTTGGTATTAGTTAGCAATCTACTAAAGTTAATCCTCAGACACTAGAGATCATGGCAGGCATCCTACCAAAACAAACCAAACCAAACCCGTTCTTTTGAGCACAGTGATACTGAAGCATATCTGCAGAGGTGACTTATCTGCTAATGCTTTTGCCCTCAAAACAGCATTCACCTTGCCTTGCCAAGAGTTCCTCTGGCACAGGCAGGGATTAGAGTACAAAGCTGGGAAGTGCGAAGGCAGCACTCAGCGAGGTGCAAATCACAGCTACAAGGTAGAGCAGGCAAACTGGAAGAAGGAGTAAAGAGGTCAGCAGCACACCAGGGCACCGTGTGCTCCTCTTGAGAAGCACGCTCTGTGCTCACGCCTCCGCTGAGCCTGTCCTCACCGGGGAAGCTGTAGGCACAGAGCTAATTCACTGAGAACGGCTTGCAGCGTACCAGGGCAGCGTTTCAGTGGCTGAAATCAGTGGAACAAGCTGCAGGATATTGTTGGCTTTAGTGTTCCTCATGGATCCATAGCAGAACAAAGTCAGGACTAGGTCAGGCAGCTTGTCCCTAACTTTAATTGCAAACAGCTTTTGCTTCACCACCTGCAGTTTTTTTTAAGTTGCACATCTAGAGACAGGGGCCACCTTAAACAGAGCTGAGCTTTTCCATAGTGCAAGATGCTCACTGGGACCTTTTCTGCTAGAAAAGCTGTGCATAACCTTTTCTTCAAAGATAGTCCCTGATCTCCTTTGGCTGTGTGCACTGCCACCAGCTGTGGGCACTGCTCAGTGTTTAACTCCACATGTCTGGTAACTTACTCATGCCTTAAATCCAGCAGTCACTAGCAGTCCTGCATTTTTAACTCATTTCATCCCAGTCTCAGCCTCTTGTCCTGAAGAATTTCATTACTGGGAGATGCCTTAGCACAGCGGATTCACTGCTGTTTCCATGGTATTTGTGTCACGTCAGACGCAGAAGCGCTGCCAGCCACATGCCGCCCCTGGCAAGGAGCAGATCTTGAGTTAGCTTGAAAAGGGACAAGCCTTAGAAGTGGAAGGAGATGGAAAGTTTCCTTTGTGGCCCCTTCAGACAACATCTAACAAGCCGCCGAGTGTCTATATTTTTTTTCAGATTACCTTTCCAGAAATATTTAGGCACCTAGGTCAGAAGAAGAGAACAGCTACAAGTAGGTATGTCCTAACATTTAGTCCTGACTGTATTTTTCAGCAGAACAACCTTCCTCCTGCTGCTACAATACACACCAAAACAAGTGCAAGGTATGCAGAGCATTTGCAGTTCATAGACCAGTGTCACCTTGACTAGACATTCATCATCTATGTATAACAGACAAACCAACAAAAGTGTCAAATTTAACCCAAGACACACGCCCAGTCCTTTGGATAGAGCCACGTGCTGGGGTACCACTCATTTCATAAAGCCCAAAGAGGCCATATCTATTCCAACTGCATCTCTTTTAATCCCAGAAGTACAATCACATTAGCAGCAGTGTTCCATCTTTTCCAGAGTGCAATTTGGACCCTGAGTTTACAGTAGTAGAAAACTTAAATGGAAGAGTCTAGCAAATTCCTTTGCATACTGGCTGCGTTAAACAATTACAATAGAACTATAAAAATCCTAGGAAAAAAAAAAAACATATTCCTTGTTCAAGTTCTGCAGAAGAAAGGAGTGAAATAGCCCTCCCGCGCTTTGCGTTAGAGGAGCAGAGCGAGCGTGGCTGGAAGGAAGCCTCCCCACCAGCCACAACAGATAAATCTTGGGCCTGGCCCTGTCAGATCCTGGAACACAGCAGCAAGAGGAACTGGCAAACTGAAGTGTTTATACTGAAGTATAGCAGTTATTAGGGACTGGAGACCAGAGCTGGGTACGGACAGATCAAAGCTATGGCCAATGTTTGGGAATCTTCAAGAGGCTCAAGCCAGTCTGGACGCTTCTTTACAGACGAGTGCAAAAGTAACACCTGAAGCTAAAGGCATTTATTCCCCTTCCCATCCTTCACAGCGTGTTCTGCTTCCTTCACAAGAATGTAACTGGCATATCAGTTCCGTGATGGTTCAGTGAAACTAGACCCAGAAACATGCTGAGAACAAACCATGAACCTCCAATGGTTTTCCAAACTGACACCCGATCTAGCTGACAAATCACAACCACTTCTGTGAATCCAGCTGACCACCCAGATACTCCCAGTGCTCCAACTCCAGAACCGTTCTTCACTGGGGCCTCTGATGGGCGAACTGTTACAAAAGCTGTCCAGACCCCATACAATGCCTGGATGAGAGGGACTCATAGATAAGCCCTGGGAGAACCTACATCCATCCCAGGACCACAGATCTGCTCTTAACACGCTTGCCTAATCGGCAGCTGATCTTGAACAAGGAATACGCAAGGCCACATGGAGAACAAATCATATGCCTTAAAAGTAGTAGTGAGGTCCCAGAATCCAGTGCAAATATTCTCTGAAGATGCCCGATAGCATCTAGTCCACCCTTGGCATCAGGATCCAATGAAAACTGTGGTGAGGGAGGGACCCAGAAGCTTATTTCCGTGGTGCCCGCATGGATATTCGGAAGGTGCGCTGACACGTTTTGTCCAGCAGCTGCTGCTGCAGACCAGAAGATGAAGCCATCAAAAATACAGAGCGGGCTCGCTGCTGAAATCGGAGAGTCCGCCCTTCTCTGCTGGGGTGAGCTGTGGAGAAAGCAGAGTTGACAGGGAGGTGTCATCAAATCCAAAGCAAATGACTACCCACACCTTTGGACAGTGAAGGCTGCCTTGGCACCTTGCCCAGGGCTAATGAGCACATTTAATTTCCCCCCTCCAAACGTGCCCTGGAGTACCAAGGGTGCCAGCTGCCCAGAGTCTCCTTTACACATACAGGAAAAGGCAGGTCTGCCAGTGCAGCGGGACCTTGCGTTGAACCCTCCGTGTTCACTGCCCAGGGAGGTGTGCCACTGCTCAAACACAGGTGTTCAGCCGAAGGCACATCCCGTCCCATCCACTGCCCAAACTAACCCGGGAGTCGGGTAAGAGCACGGCAGGAGAAAGCCAAAACCTGCTTATTTAAAGTCTCACCATGACTTGGCTCCCATGGGAATCAGCTTCCTTTGTGGGGGGTCCCTCTGCAGCAGGCATCTCCTCATACTTCTGCTCCTGCCACTCGCTGAACTTCACGGAGTGCTTTGGGGTGTAGCTGGATAAATCTGCTGGAAGGACAAAGCTGAGGTGAATATTTCTCACCACCTCGAAAGGAAGCAGGATCAAGATCCTGGCAGGGACAGCATGGAAGCTGCCCATCTGCAGTTCCCCCTTCTGCCTTGTCCCCACTAAGCCCCGATTCTGCCAGCAGCTGGCAGAAGTCACCTCCATGGGAGGCTCCTCCTATAGAAGAGCACAGTACTCCACAGAAGTCACCTCCCAGCATTTCCCCCTGTGGGGAGCCCCGTCAGGGGCTGTAGGAAACACGGACAGTGTCTGACACCACCAGTAACCCCACAGTGCCATCGCAGTGCCTCGCTCACCCGAGTTAGGTGTATCGGGATGCAAAGTGCTATTTGGGCGTGGAATGTAAAAGGTGCAAGACTTGTCATCCTCTGTTTCAGAAGCATGTCCTTCCTCTTCCTCCTCCTCTTCTTCTGCCAGTGAGCTCTCTGACGGGTACTCAAACATAGTCTGTAAACTGGTCTCATTGAAAGAGATCTTCATCTAGACAACAGCAAAGGAGAATTATTAGAAAGCAGCACAAGAAACCACTGATTGTAACATTTGCTCTGGCAAAGCCCACCTCCCACTCCAGGGTTTCACCCTGGTTTAAGGGAGCCATTGTGTATCCCTCCACCTTTCTGAATTTCTTACCACGCTGAGAGAAACTACAAATGCAGATAGCCAGGCAGATGGGATGGAGTCAGGAGGCTGAGAGGTCAAAGGTACCTCTGGCTTTTTGCCCTGACACACACTTTGCCATCATCTAACACTGTGAAGCTCAGCAGCCAGGAGAAGCTGTCGGCGGGTCCCTCCAGAGGGATCAGTGTTGCCAAGGAGGACAGGAAAGCATCCACATGTTGGAAAGATGACATCACTAAAGTCTGCCTACTCACTTGTGTACCCATGTGCTAGACAGCAGAAACATCAGTGATCAGGACTGCATTTTGGGGAAGTCGTCCTGGCAAAAAGCTATTTGAGCTGGATAAAAACAGGGCTTAATACCAAAAGCGAGAAGATGGAAGCAGCTAAAGGAGAGATGGTAACAACTGGTAGCAGAGGGGGAAAATACTGGACAAGTGGGAGGTACTTAAAGGTTCTGTTTTGCAATCAGATTTATTTTGTATTCTCACTAGTATTCTTTGCAGTAAGTGGGAGACTGAGAACGAAGATGACTCCAACATGGGAGCTCATCATGGAAAAAACCAGATTTTTTTACGGGTCATTCAGAAAACTGGAGAGCAAGAACATTAGAAATGGGACAATGTTTAAGGTCAATCCTTTCTCTAAGAGAAGCTCATCACCTGTGGGTAACTGAGAAGGAAAATTTTGGATTTGCCACAGGACTATAATCATCATTAGGATTCTGCTTAAATAAACCGGGAATAGAACAGGGCATTTCCACTGGAAATAGAGACTGACTGGCCCCATCCTCCCTGTAACACCCAGCAGGTAGCATAAGGCAGTGACTGGATTCCCCCTTTCACGCCTCCAGCTCCCTCAGCTTCTCCCCATACTCCATCTCCTCCAGCCCCAGGAGCACTTTGGTAGCCTCCACCGGACTTGCTCTAATTTCTGCACCTATCCTGTAGCAGGACACCCAAACCCAGACACAGTAACTCCAGATGTCCTCTTCCAAGTTGAAAGGAAAAGCTGAGGGAAGAGGTTGTTCCCCTGCAGCCTTGCATGTCCTAATCATTATCTACCATTCTGCTTCGAAGATGTGGTCACAAGTCATCTCAACAGGTGGGGAGGGAGGTCCAGCCTGTTCACGCAAACAAAAATGTAGGTTGAGAAAAAGCCTAACGGCTCTTTTTAAGTACACCAAGAAAATAAACACCAGGGAGCAGAGAAGAACTGCTGATGCCAGCACACAACAGACAAACAAGGAGGATAAGCTTGCCAGGAATAAATTTACGCCAAAAGCAAGGAAGTATCTAGCCAACGTGGATGAAGGTTCAGGAGCAGCTGCCTAAAAGGGTGTTGTGATCCCTTTACTTCTAACTACAATTAAAATTGAGTTAATAGGGTTATGGACAGAATTAAAAGGACATGGTTGTTATCATGGGTGGTAGGAGCTGGTTCAGAAATCTCTTCTGATGCTGTGTAATAACTGGGATGAAGAAAGTGCAGCACATTTGCCCCATGTGCCATATTTGCAGCCCTCCTCATACACAAACCACACCACAGCCTGAGAAACAGCACGTGGCGCCGAGCAGGCATCGAGCAACCACGCGTGCTGCCCAGACGCACGTGTTTCTTGCAACAGCAGCTGCTGCCTCTCCACATCTCCTGCGCAACGGGGTCTTCTGAAGGTGAACCTGCAACTGCAGGAGGGGACCAGAGCCTGCAATCCAGCAGCGAGTGGGAACCAGCTGGCTACTGCGTGATTCAGCGCTGCCCACGGACAGCCAGGCTGGAGCTACGTGGGTGATACGGGTTTTCAAGGAGAAACAGTGAGCGTTTCCCTGCTGCCTTCCAGAAAAGCAATGAGGGGGGCTGGAATCAAACCCAGGTAACAGAGCGAGTACCTAATGTCTCCTCTGCACCGCAAATACGCACGATGGAGCTGTGTGCTGCTCTGCTTGAGACCGGGATGTACCTCGGACACAGGCTGGCTGCCTTCCCCATGCTCCCAGGAGAAGGCAGGATGGAAATAACAGAGAGGGCAACCAGCTGCCTTTCCCCATTCCCTGCCCCGAGCTGCTCTGACCTTCTCCAGATGACGCACGGGGAGAGGAATGATTGTATTTCAGAGAAAAGGGGTTGGAATAAAACGGCCCTGAAGATCAGAGCATCCCAGTTGCTGTTCCCTGAATTTCTCACCCCTGCCACTGACCTAGATGCTCCCTGATCCGAGCCAGGCAGCAGAGCGGGCAGCGACCGCTCACAATGTGGCGTCTGTACTGCAGGGATGAGCCACGCTGCCAGGCACGAAGGCCACGAGGGTGGAGGTGCCCAGGGCTCCTAGAAGCTCAGAAGCTATCCCAGAACCAGGCACTGCACACAGGCTGCCTACCAGTGCTGGCAACTGTGCTGAAAGGCAAGAAGTACTTGGCTAAACATGGACAATAAAGGGGACAGGAGAGGTGTGCCTTGGTTTTAGAATTTAGTCTAGGGAGATGGAACTAAGTTCTCCTGGTTTTGCGCTATCAGGAGGAAATCTCTAAGAAAAATTACTTTGAGCCCAATTTAGACCAAAGCTGCGTGCAGGAGGAGAAAACAGGGAGGAAAACCAAAGAGTAGAAAGCAGCAGAAATGATGGAGAAACACCCCCTGTGCAGTGCCCAGAGGCAACACGCCAACAGCCCAGCCTAAGCCCTGAACTAAAGCAGCTCCCCCCAGCCAATGCGCCCCGGGCCACGCTGGCTTCCGGAGCCGGGCTGGGTGTCCTGCAGAACACTCTGCCATGGGGTACATCAGGTACCTGCTGCAGAGAGGCCCCAACGCTGTAGGAGGCAACTTTGAAGCTACTCAAAAAGAGCAATTATTAACCACAGCGGTGCCAGCCCCACGCACCCAGGGCCAGAGCTCGTAACCAGATAATTCGCTGCTTCAGCCCGACCCCCGGTTGGGCCAGCACAGCCTACGCGGAGGCTGATGCCAGGCAGCCTTGGTTGGCATGAGCACACCTTGGCACAAGATGCTCTCCTCCAACACCCACGTTCTCGTGCTCTACAGTAGCGTCCCACCCCCTGCGCCCAGCTACCGAGAAGCAGAAAGAGCCCTACGGCCGCTCCGCAATGAGGCACTTGGACGCACCCAGGCAAAGCAAACACCGGCGGAACAACCAGGTGCTGGCACAGGGTCGGGCTCCTGCAAACCAGCTCTGCATGAGTGGCTGCCGTCCCTGTGCCTGCACACACCTGCCAGGCGCTCCCTCGCCCCTGCCCACGCCAAGCAGGAGCCCCAAGAGCAGCCAAAGTGACAAACCCGCCGTGGCATCACCTGGGTTCTCCGTGCGAGCTCTTTCCCCAAGCACGAGGCATTTCAAGGGGAGCACAAAGCAGCACAAAGTGGACACCTTCCACTACACCAGGCTGCTCAAAGCCCCGTCCAACCTGGCCTTGAACACTGCCAGGGATGGGGCAGCCACAAGTTCTCTGGGCAACCTGTTCAGTTCCTCATCACCCTCATGAAGAAGAAGATGAAGGGCAGCTTACTCAGGCAAAACAAGAGGACATGTGGGTCAACACAACTGCCTTAAGAAACTCTCCAAGCAGCTGACAAGCAGAACTGAGCACTGTGCATAGGGAACACAGGCAGATTCAGTCCCAGGAACCATCTAAAAAGAAAACTCAGAAGCCCGATAATGGCACAGCCAGCAGCCAGCCTCTTGCCAGATCATACAGAATTTATGGAAACACAAAGGGGTAGTTTTCTTTAAAAGAAAACCATATCCCAGAAGAGCCAAGCACACTTGAGCCCCATCAGAGGACTCTGCTCACCGTGTCTCAGCAGCAGTTCTCCCATTTCTGCCTCAGCAGCAGCTGCTGGTTGTGGAAAGGAAGCCGTGGGTGTTTGCAGGGACTTGTCACTATTTGCTCAGCTGAATGTTTCACTCAGAACTGTGACACAAAACCAGGGTCCAACCCAAAACTGTGTATCTATCTATTAATACTCCTCTTCCCAGCAGTCAGAGCCACACTGGGAAGAATAAGGCAGGTTTTTCAGGGAATAGTGTGCTGTTCAGCCACCAGATTCTTGTTGCCATAGCAAAAATCATTTATTTATTTGCTCGGATTTGAATAGTAATGAGTAATACAGTACCCAGGAAAGAGAAGTCAGGGTAAACATTGCCCAACAAGCGTAAATTTGAGTAGTCATACATGGCTCACTTAGAAAAGAAATTAAAAAAAAAAAGTCAACCTTGTTTCAGGGGATGCAGGCTGTCAGGACCCAGTCTGCACCCAGACCGACAATGAAAGAGCCCCCATGTACAGAGACATATTAGAAATAAAAATAATCAGTTTACAGAAACCAGCCTGGGACATGAACAATGAAAGTCAGCAGACACCTCACATCCAAAAGCCGAGGTGGGAAAGTCTACAAGACTCCACAGCTGATGAAAGAGCAAACACCCAACGGCTTCTCACAAACCAGGGACAACATCATTAGTCCCAGGAGCAAACCATGGGGTTAATCTGCAGCCTCAACTCCAGAAGCAACCTCTTTAGTGTGGCTTTTCTCTTCTCCACCCATTGGCACATTTGCTTCTTGGCAGGTGTGGCAAAGCCAAAGTGATAAGGTAGGGTGCTTTACACCTTTGAAACAGCAACCTCTTTGGCAATCCAAATCCTGACCTTATTATAGTAATAATATTAAAAAAAAAAAATGTTCCAGGCATTAAAAGAAAAAAGACAAAAAAGTCACCCTTTACCTATACTCCAGGAAGGAGAGCCAGGGTCAGTGTACTGATCCCCATCGTAGCAGCCTGCGATGGGACCGAAAACGCCTGAGCCCATTCCCCTTCCCCGCAGAGCGATCGCCAACAGCCACATCCC